TCCCTTGTTTCTTCATCTTCAGTGTCATATGCATCCGTTGTGTCATAAGGATCTCTTGTGTCGTATGGATCCCCTGTTTCTTCATCTTCAGTGTCATATGCATCCGTTGTGTCATAAGGATCTCTTGTGTCATAAGGATCTCTTGTGTCATAAGGATCTCTTGTGTCATAAGGATCTCCAGTGTCATATGGATCCCTTGTCTCATGCTCTGGCCTAGTGTCATAGGGATCCCTGGTGTCATGTTCTCCTCCTGCATCATATGATTCTGTTGTGTCATATGCATCGCTTGTTTCATATGGATCTCTTGTGTCATATGGATCCCTAGTTTCAGTTTCTGCTTCTTCTTCCCTTGTATCGTACTGGTCTCTCGTGTCATAGTCCTCTCCAGTGTCAGTTCGTGTGTCATAATCCTCCCCACCTTCCCCTCTGGCCGTGGAATGATCATCTTCTGACCCGCCTTGCTCCCGTGTGTGATTTCTGAATCCGCCCCGACCTCTGCCACCAAAACGGCGTCTGCCACCCGTGCGGTCCATGACAACAGTTCGGTTAACGCCGCCGGGACGACCTCTTCCTCCCGGGCGGAATCTGCCACCGAATCTGCCACTGCCTCTTTCACCACCTTGACCTCTGCCACCAGCCAAACCAGTACGGTTAAAAGCTCCAGGACGGAATCTGCCACCGAAACGGCCTCTGCCACCGCCTTGTTCTCTGCCACCAGGCGGGCCTCTGCCACCGCCTTGTTCTCTGTTACCAGGCGGGCCTCTGCCACCAGGCGGGCCTCTGCCACCAAATGGACCTCTGCCACCACCTTGACCTCTGCCATCACCTTGACCTCTGCCACCACCTTGACCTCTGCCACCACCTTGACCTCTGCCACCACCTTGACCTCTGCCCCCAGCCTGACCTCTTATACCAGTTTGGTTCCTCGCCCCGGCACGCCCTCTGAAACCAGGACGGCCTCTGAAACCTGGGCGGCCTCTGGCACCTGCACGGTCTCTGGGAACAGAATGCTCTGTCTCATCTCGGCTTTCGTCAACGCTAGTGTGAAGAGAAACGTCTCCGTGTTGGTTTTCGGAATTAGAATGTCCTTCCGCATTGTGGTCAGCGGTATAGGTGTATTTTTCTTCATGTCCTTCGCTCTGATGACGTCGCTCCTCTTCATGATCTGCATAATGTTCCTCCTCGTCTGCATAATTTTCCTCCTCGTCTGCATAATTTTCCTCCTCGTCTGCATAATTTTCCTCCTCGTCTGCATAATTTTCCTCCTCGTCTGCATAATTTTCTTCTTCGTAATCTTCCTCGTCTTCATAGTCATCATAATCTTCCTCTTCTTCATAATCCTCCTCATCTTCATAAGTGTCTCCTGCATCGCCCTGATCAGAAGCATTGGCAGTGCCATCGACCTCATACGGGGACGCCGTTCTGGAATACTCTACATGGTAATCTGATCCCCCGTCAGTGGAATGTTCTCTCCGTGTTTCATCTACATCTGTATGGAGAGAGGAGCTACTACCGTGATGTACTGAAGTTCTAATTATAGTCCTGTCTATTGCTCCTCTGTGGATTTCTTCATCAGTTTGACCTTCTGGATCAACATACGGAAGATCACTCGAGCTAAAACTCTGCCGGTGTGTCGTATGTAGATCAGTCTCGCCTTCTTGATGTGTTTCGGACTCTACATGAATGTCCTCGGTAGTTTCCTGAAGAAAAGGGAAGTTTCAAGTTAAATCCACACGTTCGAGCTCGCAAAAGGATAGGGATTACAAACTTAAGAATGCGTACTCTAAATTTAACAGCAAAGATGGATGTTTGACTGTTTGACACTTTAAATACTGGGAAGCTGAAGTATTTTCATGTCACAATACTTATTATGTATTCAAGGCCATTGCTGGTAGCTGGTATGATATGAAGGAAAGAAAAAAATAGGATCAGGGTTTGTTATTCTTGTGCTTCCTTATCTGCAAAGTGTTTTTCCATAATATGGCAGAATGTAACTTACTTTTCATTATAATTCATTAGTAGTTTTTTTAGGAATAAATTTGAACGACTACATATCTCTTGCATATATATTAGAAGCATGGAATCTTTCTCAAGAGACAGTGATAGGACTGCGTCTGTGAACACAATACTCTCAATAAAGCGCATGAATTGCTGTACATGCATTAATCTGTTACGAAGTTTTCATAAAGTTCCCAATTAAAATTGCCTCCCGAATCGGATTCAATGTAATGATATTCTAATATATACATATATATATATATATATATATATATATATATATATATATATATATATATATATATATATATATATATATATATATATGTATGTATGTATAAATTTATGTATATATATACAAACGTAACTAATAAAGACAGAACACGAAGTTAGAAAGAAAATAATATGATATTAATTCAGACATGCGCTGTTTGTCCTCACGTGGTCAGCCTCGCCGTCTCCACCCGGCGACAGCCCAGGCCTCCTCCGCCGCCCGCTTATC